GAATAAGATGACCTAATTGAGTAAAACTAGAAGAATCAAGCATGCTTCACTTGATACCAACACACTTAACAACGGGCTTATGATTAAAAATAAGTTGTTGGCAGGAATTAGCTCTAGTTAGTGACCTTTTGACTCTTATGTTGACTTAAGCAATTATCAGCTATTTTAGTTGAACCATAGTGATATTCAATCTAGAATATGGTTGTTGTGGGCCCTCGAATCTATTCAATCTAGAGGTGAGGTTTTTGTTGCAAGTCCAAGTACCCGTGCGAATAGTCTAGAACTTGCCCTGAATGTGTTTCTAGGCGAAATTCTAAGTTTTGCTTGGCTTGAGAAGTGATTGCAGGCTCTCCTTGACCCGTTTTGAAATTTTTTATAGCCTACCAATGTTGTTTTCCCTAGTCAACCCCTTTGAGCCTAAAACCTTTCTCATTCGATAACCATGTTACAAGCCTTTACCCATTTTGTGGTGACCCTCTCTTGTCACCCGAGCTTTCCTTAACACTCTTGAGAAACAATTGGCTAAAACATAAGTTTGGTAGAGAGACGAGGAGTTTGAAAGTGGTATCAATGTACAAAAAGAGAAAAGAAATGAAAAAAAAGGGAAGGCAAAGAAAAAGAAAGAAAGAACAAAAGAAAAATGCAAAGAGGAAGTGAATAAAGTGAAGACTTGAGGGGATTCAAAGAAAAGCAATGATGCAAAGCATGGAGAAAACAAAGAAGGAGAAAATAAATATCATGACCAAGAAAGAGTGATGTTAAGTCTATCTAGTTCCCCTAAGGAAAAAGAAATGCCTCAAAAATTCGGCAAAGCATGAGCCAAAAAGAGAAAATGGAGTGCTTAAGGAAACATGAACGCGTTCTATTCCAACATTTCCTACTTTAGTCCAAAAACCTTCATTACATTTCTAAAAAGCCCTATGTGATTTCAAGTCGAGTGAACTTACATTAGTGGTGATTTACATGAGGGGAAAGCATATGGTACTTAGAGTTGTACTTGTGACATTCTTTTGAGAGAGATAAGCGAATTTTTCACAAATCCTTGAATTGAGTGCTACATTCTTAAGTGAGATATGCTAACAGAGAGTAGAGGAGGAGTTTGGGATCCAAAATGACCAACATGAAAGAGCGAGCTTCCTTGGTGAATAAAGCCAACTCTTGATGCTCAAGTGTTACATTAGAACTATTGGTGCTTAAACCTCAAATCATTGCCTTGTTGATAATTTATAAGTGTTGTGGGTAATTGTTGGTCCCAATTGATGTGTGTTTAATGCACCTTAGATTAGCTAGAATAGCGCTTAACTTGTGGAGGTGGGAATTACTTTAATTGCTTGAGGACAAGCAAAAGCTTAAGTTTGGGGGAGTTGATAAGTGCGGATTTTGACTACTTATTAGCACCTTTTTACTTTCGTTTTCGTCTTAAGGAAGTCAAAAATCAATAAAAGGGCAGAAATGCAGCAGGTCTGCGACCGCAAAAGTGATGTGCGGACCGCAAACCCACCACAGACTGAAGCAGTTCTTTTGGGCACTGAAGAGAAGATAGTGTTGCATGTATTTCACCAAGTTCTAGCGAGTACCAGATACAAGCTTCACAGGGCCAAATTTGGATGTTCTGATCTGGTTATTTTGACATAGAGAACTTTTATAGAAGTGATCTCATTTGTGAACCTGGGTTGCACTTGGTTGTAACCAGTCTAAGATTTTTTCAATTCCGCATCACCATTTGATTTTCATATGTTGGTGAAGTTGAGGCAAATAAAAGCTGCGACATTATATCATGAATTGAAGAGGCTATTGACGCTCCTATAGGCACTCATCTTCCTTGGCTCAGTAGAATGCATTTTGCTGTAGTTGTAAATTCTGGAAGCGTGTAAATTCAAGGACCAATAGAAAAGCATGAGGATAGAATAGCACTTCTTAGTGACTAGGAGCGGAGAGCCCGTTGCACCTTGTTTTTCTATGACCGGCCTATCTTCTTTCTATAAGCAAGCTCCCTCCGGCCGTCCAGTCCCTGGACGGCTCTCGGTTTTTGAGCATGTTGAGGGATTAGGTGGCAGTTGAAAGAGCTGCTCGAAAGCTTGACGAACAAGCGAAAAAAGCCTTCATTATGCGGTCGTAGAAGGGCTCTGCAGGGGCAATTTTGTCCAATCTTGACCCCGACTTTTAGTCCACTATAAATAAATTTACTAGGGTTTTGTGGGTCATTGAGTTTTAAAAAGAGACCACATTGAAGGCATTCAATACACCATTATTTTGGAAGCTTTTGAAGAGAGAATCTTGTACCTTTTTAATCTTTATGACTTTATTTATTGCTTTGTTTTTGTATTCTAGTATGAGTAGCTAATTTTAAATACTAAGGTGTTGGACCCTAAATGAGTGCTTAACATTGAATATATATATAATGGTTGGTTAATATTTNGTGTATATATATATATATATATATATATATATATATATATATATATATATATATATATATATATATATATATATATATTTATATATAATGGTTGGTTAATATTTATTCATTTCTTATGCTTTATCTATTGTTGGTGGTTGCAAAACATTGACTCATTCCATTTTACTATCTTTACTTGGAAAAGTGGGTTAGGGTTTGGTATAAGTGAATAGCAAAAACTCAAGGCTTTAAACCTTGTTTAATAGAATTGCTTAAGAATAAGTGGGTTCTGCTTGGCATAAATTGGTTATTCTTAACTACAACTCTTTTATATTTGGGAAAATCATAAAAAGAAAATACTATCCAACTCTTGAAAAATATTGGGTAGTCATTTAGAAACCATTTGCATATCCAAGGACCTTCCATTAGAAATATGTCATATTTACACCGATAGCATTACATTTCATTGATGGGGACACGACCTTGGTTTCCTTAGCCGTAGAATTTCGGCAATTCTGATACGAATTACATAAACTTTAGTTCGTCTTTCAAAGCATTTTTAGTTAATTCTTATGAAGTTTTTGTGTTTGGTAGTGCATGAGACTTGAAGAACCAAAAATATGGAAAAGAAGTCAAAAATCCATAAAAGGGCATAACTGAGGCAGGTCTGCGACCGCAGAAGTGATGTGCGGACCGCAAACCCACTACAGACCGAAGCAGTTCTTTTGGGCACTGAAGAGAATATTATGCGGTCTCATATGCGGTCGCATAACACTTATGCGAACCACATAATTACCGTACAATTGCAACTGGAAATTTGGCTTAACACTTTTGGGATGAAGTCTGCGGTCGCATAATTGCTATGCGGACCGCAGAACCGGAATACGATGGAGAACTAGGCTTCAAGACCTGCAATTATGCGACGTCTGTTTCAATTATGCTAACCGCATACATGGTCTGCGACCAGTATGCGGAAGCAGAAGGGCTCTGTAGGGGCAATTTTGTCCAATCTTGACCCCGACTTTTAGTCCACTATAAATAGATTTACTTGGGTTTTTGTGGGTCATTGAGTCTGAAAAAGAGACACATTGAAGGCATTCAATACACCATTATTTTGGAAGCTTTCGAAGAGAGAACTTGTACCTTTATAAGCTTTATGACTTTATCTATTGTTTTGTTTTTGTAGTCTAGTATGAGTAGCAAGTTTTAAATACTAAGGTTGTGGACCCTAAATGGGTGTAATGTTAATGGGTTTTTAATATATATATATATATATATATATATATATATATATATAATGGTTGGTTGATATTTATTCATTTCTTATGCTTTATTTATTGTTAGTGGTTGTAAACGTTGACTCATTCCATTTTACTCTATCTTTACTTGGAAAAGTGGGTTAGTGTTTGGTAGAAGTGAATATCAAGAACTCAAGGATTTAAACCTTGTTTAATAGAATCACTTAGGAATAAGTGGGTTCTACTTGGCATCTTAATTGCAACTCATTTATATTTGGGAAAATCATAAAGAGAAAATACTACCCAATTATTGGAAAATATTGGGTAGTCATTTAGAAACCATTTGCATATCAAAGGACCTTCCATTTGAAATATATCATATTAACACCGATAAAATTATATTTCGTTGATGGGAACACAACCTTGGTTTCCTTAATCAAATTAATTACATTACAACAACAACAATAACAAACCCAGTATGTTCCCAACAGGTGGGGTCTGGGGAGGGTAGTCTATACGCAGACCTTACCCTTACCTAATGCAAGTAGAGAGAATGTTTCAAATAGACCCTCGGCTCAGGAAGGGTAAGAAGAAGAAGAGGAAAGCAAGGAAGGAGAAAGAAGGAAGAGAAAAGAAAAAGGGAGAGATAAAGGATAAGTAATACCAAATAATAGCAATAGGGAATACAATACCTGAGGCGAACAGAACCACATAACTTACTAAAAATCTAAGAATATGAAGGGATATTCGTGCTACTAAGACTATCGGTGAACAACTAAAAACTACCCACTAACCTTCTACCTTAAGCCTCGACCTCCACACCCTCATATCCAGGGTCATGTTCTCAGTGAGCTGAAGCAACGCCATGTCCTGTCTAATCACCTCTCCCCAGTACTTCTTAGGCCTACCTCGACCTCTTCTCAAACACTCCATGGCCAACCTCTCACACCTCCTAACAGGAGCATCAATGCTTCTTCTCTTAACATGTCCGAACCATCTCAGCCTCGATTTTTGCATCTTGTCCTCCACGGAGGCTACTCCCACTCTGTATCTTGTTAATTCACAATTGTATCATTCTCTTTTTAAGCTTAAGGAGTAGAGTTATGACTTAAATCAAGTTTCACATTATTCAAGTAACCTTTTCACACCTATTCCCTGTGGGATTCGACCCCAACCTTATTGGGTTATTATATTTGACACCGACCGCCTTACACTATTGGTTTATGTGTAATTTGAGCGTATCAAATTTTGGCGTCATTGCCGGGGAATACGGTTTTGAAATTACTATTTAGTGTGTGCTTTACTTTACGTCTTCTTCTACTCCATCACACTCTGCTTGCTTTGCTTGGCTTTATTACGTAAACATGGCCGAGTACGATGAAGAGAACCCTTTTGTGGATATAGATGAGTATATTGAGGATACAAATGCTATTGTCCCTCCAAGGGTTGATGTTGCTACCTTCAAGGTGGAACACGGTCTTATCCTAATGCTCAAAGCAAAGGGGTTTTTCAGAAATTCCACCGATGATCCGACACAATATTTCAGAAACTTCTTGGGTGTGTGTGCAATGCACAAGCAGAATAACGTCTCAGATGATGCTCTAAGGCTAAGAGTGTTCAAGTATTCACTGGATGGAGAGGCAAGGAAATGGATCCAAAATCTACCACCAAATTCCAGTCATTCTTGGCCTGAACTCGTCCAAGCGTTCCTAGCTAAATGGTTCCCGCAAAGCAAGAAGTCTGAGCTCCGGGATAAAATTTTCTTTTTCAAGCAATTACCGGGAGAACACCTACATGAGGCTTGGGATCGATTCAAGCTATATTTAGTGAGGCCACCGAATCATGGTTTTTTGGATACTATCTTGTTGGAGAAATTTTACATGGGATAGGATCCTATAAATCAATCTACAGCCAAAAATGCAGCTGATGGATCTTTTATGGATGAAACATTTGCGAGGATCACACAAATCCTTGACAAAATGGCAATACATAACCAAGCTTGGCACTCAGAGGACACCACGGGTGGAATTGTATATGGTATTCCTTCCTTGACCAACATGATTAAGGAGAACCAAGAAAGAGATCAAGTAATTGCCGGTCTTGCCACCAACGTCAATGTGTTGACGAAGATGTTCACTGAAAGCCAAATAAAAAAGGTAAACGTGGTAGAAGATGTTCAACACACATCAAATGAGGATTAAGAGGAAGCAAATTATGTCAAAAACTCTCAAGGAGGTTATCAGAGGAAACCCTACCAAGTTTCAGGACAACAAAACCAATGGAGGCCTAACCCGCAAGGGCAATGCAACCAACAGTGGCGAAATGACCAAGGTAGTTCAAATCAAGGGAATTGGAGTAACAACAACAAAAACTTTTCCACTCGGAGTTCAAAACCCTATGTTCCACCAAAGGGGAAATATTCCAACTCTCCGCATTGGAATGAAGGTTTTTCAAGTGATTCCAAGTTGGAAAACATGCTTGAACGAGTATTGCAAAATAAAGAAAGATCCGACACTTCAATGGGGAATATGACCGAGCTTATGGGTTCTTATACTGCATCTATTCAAAATTTAGAGATGCAAATGAGAGATCTCTCAAGAGAGAAAAGTCCGAAGCAAAAGGGCACACTCCCAAGTGACACAATTGCAAACCCAAAAGGTAGTGGGAGCAGTACAACTTCTCATTATATGGCTATCACAACTCGAAGTGGGAAAATACTTCAACGAGAGATTGAACAAGTGGTCGAAGTGGAAGATTCCGAACTAGAAGTTGAGGCACAAGTTGAGGTGCCAATTGTTGTTGAAGCTTAAAAAGTCCCAGAAGAGGTGAAAATTCAAGAAGTGAACCAGGAAGAGGTTAAGGAAAAGGTGAAAGAGACACCAAAAACTCTCGAACCAATTCCTAGACCTCCTCCTCCTTTTCCTCAAAGACTTGCTAGGAAGGTTGATGATAGCAAACTCGAGAAGTTCTATGACATTCTCAAGCAATTATCGGTGAATATTCCATTTGTGGAAGCATTTCAAGAGATACCGGGTTTTGCTAAGTACTTGAAAGACTTGATCACCAAGAAGAAAACTACCAAGAATGAAGTGGTGAATGTGATTCACCGGGTTAGTTCCATCATTGCAACAACCACCGTTCAAAAGAAAGAAGACCCAGGGACTTTTACCATTCCATGCACTATTGGGGTGCTCGACTTTGCAAGAGCTCTTTGTGATAATGGGGCTAGCATCAATTTAATGCCTCTTGCTATTTACAAGCAAGCATGGTTTGGTATGCCGAGGCCTACAAATATGAGGTTGCAAATGGCCGATTGTTCAATAAAGAGATCGGTGGGGATTGTGGATGATGTTCTTGTGAAAGTGGGAAAGTTCTTCCTCCTCGCCGATTTTGTGATCCTTGATTGTGCTGTTGACAAAGAAATCCCTATCATCTTGGGGAGACCATTCCTTGTTACCGGAAGAGCACTTATGGATTCGGAACGAAATGAGATCAAAATCTGAGTTAATGACGAAGAGGTTACCTTTCAAGCGAGTAAGGGTATGAAGTTGACACATGCATATGAAAGCATCTCATTCATTGATTTTATTGATGGGGTAGAAGACGCAATCGAGATGAAGATGGAATTGGCGGCTATTTTGGTTAAATTTGATGGTGAAGACATGGAGGGGTACATGGAATCGGTGAATGCATTAGAAGGACTTGGGTCCTACACATATGCACCAAAAAAACTTTCTCTTGACTTAGAGGATAGAGTCACTCCTCCCGTCAAGCCTTCAATTGTTGAGCTGCCACAACTTGAGCTCAAGCCACTTCCACCGCACTTGAGATATAAATTTCTTGGATCTAATGAAACTCTACCGGTAATTGTTTATTCTTTGTTGAATGATATGAAAATAGAACACTTGTTGAATGTCCTGAGGGAGCACAGGAAAGTCATTGGGTGGACAATAGCGGACATCCGAGGGATTGTTGCCGGAATTTGTGAGCACAAGATACAATTGGAGCAAGAGAGCAAACCAAGAGTGGAGCATCAAAGAAGGTTAAACCCTTCCATGCAAGAGGTGATAAAGAAAGAAATCATCAAATGTTTAGACGTCGTGGTGGTCTAACCCATTGCTGATAGTTCTTGGGTGAGTCCAGTGCAATGTGTGCCAAAGAAAGGAGGCATGACCGATATTCAAAACAAAAAAAATGAGCTCATCCCAACGAGAACATTGACCGGGAGGAGAGTTTGCAAGGACTACCGGAAGCTAAACAGTGCTACTTGAAAGGACCATTTCCATATGCCTTTTATCTATCAAATGCTTGATCAGCTAGCGGGAACGTCATTATATTGCTTCTTGGATGGATATTCCGGCTATAACCAAATCAATATCACCTTGGAAGATCAAGACAAGACAACATTCACATGCCTATATGGGACTTTTGCCTTTAGCTGTATGCCATTTGGGCTATGCAATGCCCCGGCTACTTTTCAACGGTGCATGATGTCAATTTTCTCGGACATGGTGGAAGATTTCCTAGAGGTGTTTATGGATGACTTCTCTGTAGTGGAGTGATTCCTTTGAGCATTGTCTTGACAACCTTAGACAAGTGCTCAAAAGATATGAAGAAACAAACCTTGTGCTAAACTGGGAGAAATGCCACTTCATGTTGGACAAGGGCATTGTTTTGGGCCACAAAATTTCCAAACAAGGCATAGAGGTTGACCGGCCAAAGATCGAATTCATTTCCAAGCTTCCTCCACCCACTTCAGTAAAAGGTGTCCGAAGCTTTATGGGGAACGCCGACTTCTATAGGCGTTTTATCAAGGACTTCTCAAAAATTAAAAATCCCATGTGCAAGCTCCTTGAAAAAGCAAAGTTTATATTTGATGAGAAGTGTCTCAAAGCTTTTGAGGAATTGAAAGAAAAGCTGTCCACGACACCTATTATTGTCATACCCGATTGGTCCCTTCATTTGAACTCATATGTGATGCTAGTGGTGTTGCTATTGGGGCAGTGCTTGGTCAACGGCATAACAAAATCCTTCACCCTGTTGCAAGACACTCAATGACGCTCAATTGAATTACACTATGACTGAGCAAGAACTTCTTGCCATTGTCTATGCTTTTGAAAAATTTGGGCCTATTTGTTGGGGTCCAAAGTGATAGTTTACATCGATCATGCTGCTCTTCGCTATCTCATGGCGAAGAAGGATGCCAAACCAAGATTGATTTGGTGGGTCCTTTTGTTGTAAGAGTTTGAATTTGAAGTCTAGGATCGAAAAGGGACAGAGAATCAAGTTGCGGATCACCTATCTAGGTAGCGAGACCAAAAGAAGACCTTGAAATCAATGATTCCTTTCCAGATGAGCACATATTGCATTGTCTAGCACATTCGCTCCTTGGTATGCCGACATCGCTATCTTTTTGGTTAGTGACCTAGTTCCCGATGGATTGGAAGCTTATCAAAAGAAAATGTTCTTGCGGGAGTGTAGGCAATACCATTGGGAGGAACCCTTTTTGTTCTGTATTTGTGCCGACAACATTTGTTGGCGGTGTGTTCCGGAAGATGAGGCAATACCGATTCTCAAGGCATTCCATGACTCCTCGGTTGGGGGTCATCATGGAGGAAACCGGACGGCGGCAAAAGTGCTTGAATGTGGCTACTATTGGCCATCGATCTCCCAAGACACAAATCAAATGGTCAAGGCATGCGATCAATGTCAAAGACAAGGGTCAATATCTGAAAGACATGAGATGCCTATGAATTTTGTAATGGAGGTCGAGATCTTTGATGTGTGGGGATAGATTTCATGGGCCCCTTCGTGAGCTCTTATGGCATGACATATATCTTGGTGACTGTGGACTACGTCTCCAAATGGGTCGAGGCAATCACCTTGTCCAACAATGAAGCAAGGAGTGTGACCTCATTCTTGAACAAGAACATATTTACGCGGTTTGGTACCCCCAGGGCCATCCTTAGTGATGGTGGTTCTCACTTTTGCAAAAAGGCTTTCACCGTGCTGCTCGAAAAGTATGGCGTAAAGCACAAGGTGGCCACACCATATCATCCTCAGACGAGTGTTCAGGTTTAAGTCTCCAACAGGGAGATCAAAAACATCCTAGCAAAACCTGTCAATGCAAACAGGACTGACTGGTCAAGGAAGCTAGATGATGTGCTGTGGGCATATCGCACAACATTTAAGACTCCCATTGGAACCTCACCGTACCAGTTGGTTTTTGGTAAGGCGTGTCACTTGCAAGTGGAGCTTTAGCACAAAGCCATGTGGGCATTGAAAAAGTTGAATCTTGATTGGGCCGAAGCTGCTAACCCAAGAATGACACAACTCAATGAGATGAAAGAATTCCGTCTCCATGCCTATGAGAGTGCATCCATTTATAAGGAGAGAATGAAATTTGTTCATGACAAAAAGATTTTGGAGCGGGAATTCAAATCCGGAGACTTGGTCTTAATCTTCAACTCAAGACTCAAGTTATTTCTGAGCAAACTCAAATCCAAATGGTCTGGCCCGTTCAAAGTTGTGAGTGTATCTCCCTATGGTGCTATTGAATTGGAGTCGGAGGATGGAACTCGAACTTTGAAAGTAAATGGCCAACAAGTCAAGCATTACCTCAGTACCACAGGAGAAAGGCATTTGATAGAACAATTTTTTCTCAAGGACAGTCCTACACCAGCCTCCACCACTGAGTAGCCCAAACGGGGTCAACATCGTCGTGCCGCGACGTTAAATCAAGCGCTTCTTGGGAGGAAACCCATGTGTGGTAACAATCTTTTGTTAGATTTTTAATTTCTGTAGATTTAGTTATTATTGTTGTGCAGGATAACGTGTGTGTTAGAATGAAGGTAGCCCAAAGTACCATGAAACAGGGTGCAAGGACTGAGGTAAATGAAGAAAAGAAGGTTTCGTGGTTTGCGACAACTATGCGGTCGCATAATAATTTTGCGAACCGCATAGTGGTCGCAGACACGGTCAGAAAAAATGGCAAGTTGGGTTCTCTAAAATGGGGTAAGATTTCAACTTCTGCGGCCCGCATAACAACTATGCGATCTTAGAACGCGTCGCAAAGTAAGGTTGAACGACCCGGTCATTAATCCATCGGATAACACATATGTGACCGCATAATGTGTTATGCGATTCACTTGCCTACCGCAAAACGCACAGGTACAAAACCCTAAACTTTTCACATACGAGCCGCACCCTCACTCTCAGTCACACACAAGCACTGTCCAACACGAATAAAATCAGAAACAAAAAAATAAGGATAAGAAAAAGAAAAGACCAAAAACACACACAATCACACAAAGAGGATCGGAATTGCATAGAGAATTCACCTCGCTCACATCTCAGAACCGATTCTCAAATTGCTCAGACCTCTGGTACGTCATCTTCCTCCCTCTTTTTTCTAATTATGTGAATAATCTCATGTACTTGAACCCCCTCTTTCCCCTCCTTCTCAAACCTTTGATATGGGGATCTGGGTGGGTAATTTGTGGGAAATTTCTCAAAATTGAGTGTTAGGAACTCTGTGCGTGAGTGAACTGAGCATTTTTAACTGAAGAAGACGATCTTTGCGATCCGCTTAATTGGTTTGCGGTCTGCAAAGTCGTCGCAACTGGAACCCTAGGTGGCTTGATGAAAAGAGATTTTGCGATTGAGTTTGCGATCGCAAACTTCTTTCGCAGACCGCAAAGTTGCTGCAAACAGGGTCAGAAAAATTGCCCATCTGGAGAGCGAAAATACAACCACTTTGCGGCCGCATAACACATTCTGCGGGCCTTTTCGCGATCGCATAATTTTTTGC